TCAACTCACTAGCTGGGTGAACATGGGCGATTTTTTTAACCTCTCAGAGGTAGGTTCTACAGTGTTTGAGTATAAAGAATTACTCCCATTTCTAATGGTTGGTAGGACAATCAAAGAAAGTTAACACATGTATTGTGAACAGTGTTCTGCACACAGAAAGGCTGGGTTATGTACCTGGGGGTGGAGGGGAGGGTACATGATGCATGTGGTCAAGGACTACAGAAACCACAGGATATACATGATGCAAAGCCCTAGAGCATCAGAATAACCTGAGGATCTGAGAAAACATTTTATACCAAACCTAGTATATGCTCTGGTTTATCATTCAAGTCTTGTGTGTCTTATAAATATCTAGAACAGGAGGTTTCAACAAACAATTTTCTCCTGGGAGGTTAGGGCTTTGTAGAAAATGCCTCCTAGACCTCCCGGAGAATACAAATTCTCTTTTCTTCCCTACGTACTTCCAGTAGAAGGTCTGGAACCACTGTATATGCACTCAGTAAATGACACTATTATTCGGTCACTAACCAGTTAAAAAATCTTCCAGTTGCTCTGCACTGCCCTCAGGAGAGAGTGAGCGATGGATACTGGTGTGCAGAGCCCGGCCTTACCTCTCCAACTCCTCGGTCTCTGCTCCCACAGCAAAGTTTCACGGCACTGCAGGGGCCTACCAGGCCTACCCCTGACCTCCCTCATCGCTGGACTTCTGTCTGGAACCACTTTGGTTCTCGGCCTCCTACCACCCCCGTCCCTGCACCCTCCCTTTCTCTGGCCAACTCCTGCAGTTCATAGGTCCCAGATCAGCATCCCTTCCCTCTGGCATTGAGGAGTCCGACTCCTCTTCTCCCAGGGCTGGGCCAGGAGCCCCCCCCGCCGCCCCAGTGTGTTCCTATTATCCCACTTATCACTGGGTCCACCAGAGTGTTAAGCTCTCTGAAGAAAGAGGAGCAGCGTTGCCTTTTCCGCTGCACTACTGATCGCTCAGGGCAGGATGCTGAGTTAACCCAGTTCGTGAATCCCTGTCTCCGTAACGTCTCGGCACTGACAACGGCGATCTCCTCCATCTCCTGGGTGGGAACGGGCCCCAGTGCACCACTCGGGACCTGGCCTGACTGACCGGAAGAGGTGCCGGCTTGGGAATCCAGTCCAGGGGAAGGTCCACCACACCCAGCCGCTGGGTGCCCCCGAGCCCGCAGCCCCGCCCCCGGCCCGCGGGGAGGGGCCTGGAGCCGCGCGCATGCGTGGTGGCCCAGCAGCAGCGAGGGGCGGGACCGTCGTCACGGAGGGCGCGCGCGGGTTGGTCCGCGGCCCAGGAAGGGGTGGCCTGAGACGCAACGGCTGTGTCCCCGAGCTCTCTCACAAAGAAATGCCGCCTCCGCACGGGCGAGAGGTCGCCCGTCCCACAGCGGTTCCTCACCCCTGCTCCGCACGCCGTCCTCAGCAGTAGCCCCGCTCCCAGGAAAGTCAGCACAGCCCCGCCGTCCGCAGCGTCCTTCACGTCAGTCCGAAGCCGCAGGCAGGCGGCCGGAGTCGCCGGAAACTGGGCCGGCCGCCGCACCGGAAGTCCCGCCTCTCCCCGGCCGGGCTCCGCCCCATCCGCCCACGGCCCCCTCCCGGCTGCGGGGGCGCGCTCCGGAGTCTAGTCTCGCCCCTTCAGCACCTTGGAGGTGGGAATGTTGCTCCTGACACCTCAAGGGCGTGGCGTGCTTAGCCGCAGATGCAGGAGAAACGGCACCGCTGCCTTTTTGCTCAGCGGCTCTTTCCCCTTCTAGAGCCATTGGTGAATCACGTGTGGAGTACCTTTCCTTGCCGCACCCTCCCCTCACTGCGCCGGTCATGCCCATTCTCGAGGGGTAACTCAGAAGTCGTCTTGATACTCTCCTTGAAATACCCGATCTCTGAAGTTATTAACTGCTTTGCTACTGGACTAGCACCTGGCACTCGTAGCTGTTAACCACCCTCTCAGGCACTGAAGTTCCTCTTTTCCTACGCCAGCTATTGCCAAACCTTAGGCTGCCAACTCGCCAATCCTGCCTGGCGTCCCTAGAGGATCAGTATCTGGAAGTGCGGGGAACCATCTCCCTCACTGCTTGCTCCCCTCCCGCGCACATGCTGGGAGTCTCTTTGATCCACACGGCCTGCTTTTAATCCAAAGCCGGTTATCCTATGCAATCTCTATGAAAAACGACTAGATGAAACCCTAGCTAGAGCAGTCTGACATAACGGGATACACACTCTGGTTTACACATAGGGAACTCCTTGATTGGGGATTCATGCTGCTAGAACCCATCCAACATCCCCTCTTGTCCGGTGCTGCAGTCTGCCACGGTATGATAGAACTCTTCTCTGCACTGGTGACCCTCTACTTTTCCTCCTCACTGAATCTGGAGGTTGGTTTCAGTTTATTCATATTTGTTGTCTATTTTCTATGTGAGGGCATACTTGGTTGAAGCAATCTGCTCCTAGTTTCCCCTTCAGAACTAAGAGCTGTGACCAGACTAAAACAGCACTGAAGGATTTTAAGCAAGTGGGTAATATTAATACTTGCAATTTTCCAAATGCTTACTCTGGCTGCAGTATGGAGAATGGATGGAAGAGGGGCCAAATTGTACGCAAGACCAGGTAAGCTACTGCAGGGCTACAAGAGAGATGCTTAAATTTATGGGGAAACAAAGCAAATTCAAGAGATCTTTAGGGGGTAAAATAGAAATTTTTGACAGATTAAATGGCAAGGGAGAGGAAGGCATCAAGAGAATTACTAAATTCCAGGCTTGACCTATTTGGTAGTATAAACAATGGCGTCATTCACTATAACGTGGAATAAGTGAACAGGACTAATGACTTCCCCTCAAAAGTCTCAAATGATTTTGCTTGCCAAAGGGCAAGATGAGTTAAGAAGGGATAGGATGTCTAAACAGATGGTGACTACACTTATAGAGGTAAGCACCACACAATGTATAGAACTGTCAAGTCACTATGCTATATACCTGGATGTATTAGCATTGTACACCAACACTACTTCAATAATGAAAAGAAATGTTATTGACAAAGAAAAAAAGGAGGCATTGAATTTGGAAAAGAGAAAGATGGTGCAAAAACACAAAGAGGGAATAAAGCCGTATAAGAACTGAAATAAAAACAAGATTCCAAAACTCACCTTGATCAATACCCTTGGGCATTGCCCACTATGTGTCCCAGGTCCTTGCACAGAATGTTTTCACAACACCTAGCATCTAATGATCAATCAGGGGCCAAGAAAAATTTCAGCAAAAAATAAATCCATTTTGCTTAGTATCAAAGTTTTATTATCTGAAATAACTTTGAAACTATGAGGCACTGAGAAAGTGATTTATTTCACCAAAAACACTTCGGGAGAACAATTCTTTGGTTGAGGTACATCTAGAATCAAAGATTAGTGACCTGGAAAAGGTATACATATATGAATTACCTGGAAAGTTCTCTTCTAAAATAGTTCTTAACCAGTTTTACAGATGAAGCAACTGAAAACTGAGGTCTTACGAAGTTTGTCTTAAGTCATGATAAAAGGTTTTGTTTGGCATTTTAGAAATATCCTGCCTCCCATTCTTTTTACTACAAATACATTGCTTTCTCTCAAGTCATTTCATGAGTACATGTACAATCAAGTGATAGCATATACCCGTAGACTACAGATCACACTGCCTACTCTAACTAGAGATTTTTTTTTAAAGATACTTTTATTTTTTTAAATTTTTTTTTAAATTTTTTTTAAAGATACTTTTAAACTAAGTTTTGAAAACTTAAGAGTTTTGTGGAAGTACCTTAGGAAGGATGACAAGGGTAGGGTAGAGGTTGAACCGTGGGCTTTTGGGCCCCATCCCTGCTTCAACTAGAAATAAATAAATGGACTGCTCTCATCTGTTCTAGATAGTGTAGCATTACAGTTTTGTGTTATCCCTTTTGGAATCTGGTTCTAGCATTAATGATCAAAACTTGAAAACCACTGTACTTAATTAAGGACCCGGGTATGAATCTGGTTAACATCTACACTTGAACCAAGATCCTTCTTGATAGGTGAGAAGCATATAGACACAGGATCAGAATACATAAGGACCACCAACATTTCGGATATTTAGAGTATAGAATGATCACCAATTGTTAACAATGAGAATGGCTAAGGGGGAGGATGTGAGCAGACAAGGAGATATTCAAGTTACTGTCAACTAAGATACTTATAGTTATGGAATCTCAACTACTCTGGAGAAATCAGGACTAACCTGTGAAAGCTTATAGACTTCCCTTCAGGCACACTGAAGCTAGAACTGTGGCCTCCAGAGATGAAACATTTTTATATTTAGTGTTTCACTCTCCTCAGAACCACTTAGCTACAGAATACTCAGATGCTGCCCTGCTATGACTGCTCTCCAATGGAGTCTGAACTTGGATGGTATCCTGCTACTAAATGTGCATGAAGGTATGAAGTTTTACAAGAACATGGCATCAGACCAAGGTCTCTCTTTTCTTTCTTTTAAAAATTCTGTATGGCCTGTGGAGAAATGGGAATGCTCTCAGTTAACTGTATCTGTTGAATCTGTTGAGTGACTTAAACTTGGCCTCAAGCATTGGATCTTTGTGAGGCCAAAAGAACACTGCTTCTAAGTGCCAGATATGTTACTTATTCACATAAGCCAGATAATCAACTAAGAATCCCTAGTACAACTGTTTGGTTCAGCTGCAAGCCTGCGGCCCAAAGATCATCTATCTTGAATTCAGGCATGGCCAACCAGCGTTCAGTACCTACCCCAAAGTTTTAGAAGTAACCTAAGTCATGGAATAAAAAGTTGCTCATGAGTCTCCTTGACAGTCATCAGCAAATTCCATTAATTCATCGACTATAACATTTACTTTCATCAAATCTATACTCAGTGGTTTTACAGCAAAGAAAATATATAACCAGTGTGGCACACATGAATTAAGATTAATTCAGTTAACACTGATAGGCAAGGCACAAAAACAAGTGCTTGACTTAGAAATTTAACTTTATTTACAAATGTTCTATAAACAAAGATGCCACTCTATCCCTTTAAACTATTATAACTGATAATTTCCAGAAAGCCCATTTACATAATCTTAATCTTCCTGCATAAAACTATATTATGGGATGAGCAAATATGGAATGGTTTAAGAATATAAAAACAGAAAGCTTATTACGTAGCATGAATCTCTATTGACAGAATGAAGAATTAAAACTTATACCCCTTAACATGCTACTCCAAAAAATGGAAACGTGATAATTTGGGGGAGAGGTAAACGCTTCACAATAGTTTTCTTAAATAGTATAGTTTGTGATTGTGATTAACAGGATTGCTTTGCAGGCTAATATTTAGGCTGATTTTGAAAAAGAAGTCATTATTGTAAAAAGGGCATAAACTTTCTACTTAGATTTTTCTACCAATGGAAATATGTAGATAGTGGTCTGGTCTTACCGTTCAGGCCAATTAATAAAATAATATATGCATGAAAAAGAACTTAAAAACATAATCATTGTATGACTAACTTATAAAATTAGAATTCTCCCTGAAGTCAGAGAGTACTGTTCAATAGTTGCTATAAATTTGAATGTCATAGCCGAAATGATATATAGACAAAGAGTTGAAAGTTAAATTATCCAAATTATCAATTTATCATTTTATATGTAATTACTTTTAAAAAATCCTTTACATTTTATCTAGGAAGATAATCATTCTCACATCATAGTTAAGTCACAAGGAACTTCAAAACTTTGAAAAAAAAATTATCCCTGAGAAGTGAGAGAGAAAAATCTCTATAAACAAGTGACAGTCCTGTACCCTTCTAACAATCTTTACGACAGCATGAACTTTTATTAACAACTGTCAAATGTATTCCAATCCTGGATAGTTACTGCCTCTGATGATCTCATCTTTTTGTAATGAAACTATAAGTGCAACATTTTTTTAAAAATCAGATAAATAGGGACTCTGGTTTTATTGTCAAGTTTACATTTTTGTCAAGTGTGAGGACGACCAGCTAAGACGTATATTCCAATAATGACTGACGTAATAACTTCTGCTGGCATCTCTTTTCTGAGTCTTCATTTCACCCACCATTCTTCACCCAAATAATAAAAGTAATACAATGGCAATTGAGTTTATTATTATCAATGGCACTGCAAAGAAAAAAGAAAGTTTGTTACTGTGAAGAAAATAGCAGAAAAAACCCTTAAGTAATAGTTACCAGCATCCAGGAAGGATGAAAATATCGAACAATATGTCATTCATAATCATGTTGCAAATAGTTCTGACAAGAGAACATGCAATGGATCATAAAACCCAAAACTTATTTTAAAGAAGGCTTGTGTGATCAGGGTAAGGGTCACACTGGTACAAGTAGCTCAATATGAAATATCTGTGAATGGTGCTGGTGCAGGGTTGGAACACAGAAACACACCAGGCCCAGGCAGAAGTAGATCCACATGGCTGTGACTTTTGACATTACAAATAAAGAGTAAAGATTCCACAGGGATCCCTGGATGGCTTAGTGGTTTAGTGCCTGCCTTTGGCCCAGGGGCGTGATCCTGGAGTCCTGGGATCGAGTCCCACATTGGGCTCCCTGCATAGAGCCTGCTTCTCTTTCTGTCTGTGTCTCTGCCTCTCTCTCTCTTTCTCGCTCTCTGTGTGTCTCTCATGAATAAATAAAATCTTAAAAAAAAAAAAAAGATTCCACAGTTTCACCACTAAATTAAGAATGAACTTATTTATCATTCTACCCAAAGTTGTGATCAAAACAGCTAACAAAGAAAGAGGAAGACAGAGACCCTAATTTTAATGATTTTAAATAAAAACTTCTGAATCCTTTTGCCAGTTGCTCTAAAATAATTTCCAATAGACTGGCAGATATGGGATCTTTATTTTTCTCTTAAAGCCTTCTAGGACTCTAGATGACTTTACTATTGAAGCAACAGAATTTCCAAAAGGTGAGAACACTGCTTTCAGGTCTGAGAGGTAACACAGGAACAGATTATACCATTGAGCATTCCATTTTCATCAAATGGTTTAGACAGAAGAGGTAAACTAAGAAAGAAACTAGTAACTACTAAACAGTAAAGCCAGGATAAAGAGAAAAAAAACTTCACTGCAAAAACGGTGTGTGATAGTATTTACTCTCAGAAGCTTTGCTACTTAAATCAAAACCACAAAATTAAAACTTAAAAAGTGTTTCACTAGTTTTTCTTCTTACCTCTCATCACAGTTCTTACAGATCGAATAAGGTTCATTAGCTGAGATTTAATTCCTGGCTCCTCTCCGAATCCACCAATTCCCTGGTCTGCTCCCCAGCCAACTGCATAATATGAAAAAATGATTAGCTGTGTTAAAATTTATTATGCACTTGCCTTGCTCCCTCATTAGTCATCATTGAATCAAGATTAGCTTGAGTCTTTGTTAAAGACATAAAATATAAAGTTAGCTGACTTAAAAATTACAATACTGATTAAATATTGTATAGTATATTTTTTACTTTTGATAGCACCAACAATCTTATTTCATTTTCACGTTGATTTTATAAAATAGATTACAGTCTAAATTATTCCATGGCATTTAATTCAGTGAAGATGACTGTTGTGACATCCTGACTTTTTTTCCTCTTTTTTCAAACAAAACATTTTTCAGGTTGGAACTGGAAACCAAAGTATACTGTCAAACTCAATAATTGATTAACTCAATTCACAATTTATAAAATCCAACACAATTATCACTATAAAAATGTTGAGATGCACTGTCTACATTACTTGAGGAAATTTTAATGGCCACGGCTTGCTTAGGCTTTCAGAGTATGCTCTATCCTGCTGGCAGGGGGACATCTTTTCCCCCCTTCATCACTCTCTTCATTTCTCAATTCTAGCTGTGGAATTTAGCCCACTACTCCACTTATTCTCCATAAAATAGTCTTTTATCTTCTTCTGTATCACTTTCCTGATATTATAAATCATTATTTCTTTCCCTCTATCTGCTAGTTCTTTCTTTATTGCCATATATTCTTCTTAAGACCTATACAAGCCCTTATGTCTGCAACTTATCTTTCTCATGTCTGCATTTCAGGGCCATTTTTTCATACCTTACATTACATTACTTTGTATCTCCTATGACTATAGGGCTTAGTTCCTGACATGCTGGCCCTTAAACTTGAAGATGGTCTTTATTTTATACATGGAAGAATCAAGTCTCAGGAAACAAGACTGCACTTCATTTAATCAACTTTTATTTGGTTGACATAAAACTTAAAAAAATGGTTGCTTGCTTTTTTGGTCCCATCAACCCTGAGAATGTTGTGGGATAAAACTAATTTAAAGTTCAAGTCATAAGACAGCTGATGTGTTCTGACTCACACTCTCCCTTCAAGGCCTAGCTCGAGTTGTGCTGACAACTAACCCAGTCCACAGGGGTGTCGCTGTTTTGCGTTTGCACACTACAGCCACCATTACAGTGGCTACAATTAGCCTCTATGATCTCTTGCCGAACTCTTTTCAACAGATGCCTCTGTAATCCAGCTGTCTCAACCCCTTGAGTTTCCTCCCTTACAGGGTCAGGTCTTCCCACCTTGCAATCACGTGATGATTCCCACTGCCTACCAAATATAGTTCGAACTCCTGAAACTGACCTGGCCCTATATCCCACTACTACACCTTCCAAGTATTCCTCTTCACACTCGATGCCCACTATCTGCCGGACATGTGAAAGGCAGCTTCTGAATCTCGGTCAGACTTCTGTGTCAGGGCCTTTCCTCGTTCCTTCTCATGTCATAATAAACCTTCCTTCTCTCTGCTCCCCAAACAGCCTCCTGACTGTGGTGATTTTGTTCTCTTTCTTGGTTAGCTCTTTCCAAGTGTCTCTCATTAGACTATAAAATCCTGAGAGATGGGGACTAAATTGAGTCTTTCTTCACCTTCCCCCTTTCCTGCACCCCTACCCCCAGCAAGTACTTAGTAAATGTTTATGGAATTGAAGTGAATGATAAAAGCCCGAGTTAATCTGGATAAGGTGAAATAAGGTATATTCTAGGATCACAGTTCCAAAGAACTCTATTTCTTAATTTTTATGACACAGGAAGTTATAACATGAAACCGTAGACCATTCCACTGTAGCTTTAGGAAAAAGGGGAAAGAGATCCTCCAATATTAAATGTACACATCTATTCAAGCTAAAAGTAATTTTAGAAAAAATACCTGCCTGAGCATCACCCTCCTACTCAGGATCTACTCTCTCCAGCAAGCAAATATACTTATTCCACTTCAACATTTGCTTTTACTCTATTATTAGCTTTACCATGATGTCCTTCCTCCAAGTAACTGTCTCAGTGTTCAAGTAGCTCCATCAGTATTGTCCACTAAATGGCAGTCCTCTTTTTGTAATCTAAGTTCAATTGTAGCACCAGCCTTCACCCACTTACAGCACAGTAAAAAAACTATTTCATATCCATCTCTAGACATAAAGGACACATAAAATGACCACCTACCATCAGCTGTGTCAGTTTCCAACCTTCCAGCCTGCATAACTGCTACAGGAAGATTTCTATGGAGAAGCAATATGGCTGGGATAACCTGCAGAAACCTCTTTAACAGCTCTGTACAATAAAAGAGCAGTATGGCTCTGATTCAACATGATGGGATTGGAGAGGAAAGTTAACCCTGACCCTCCTAAGGTCCCTGACTAGGCCTAAAAATGACAATGATAAGGGGCACCTGGGTGGCTCAATTGGTGACTCTTGGTTTCAGCTCAGGTCATGATCTCAGGGTCGTGGGCCTGAGCCCTGTGTCTCTCTCCTTCTGCCTTTCTCTCTCAAAATCTTAAAGCAGATAAAGAGGAAAAGCATACAAATTCTACTAACTTTTTACATGTACATGGGAACCTTCAGAAGAGAATGAAGACCCAAAGAAGTGACTAGAGCAGAAAGCTTTTGAGACATTTGTGAGGAACTGATAAGATAAAGGAGTTTGAACTGGGAGTGGTGGTAATAAATGATGGAAAAGTAACAACGTTTGTTTCTACAGCCTTCCTCTCTGGTGATACAGATGTCTCCCTTCCTCCAGGTACAGGGAGGGTATCCTTCACATGGGAGACTAAGTGCCGGCTTTGAGCAAAGAGGGCAAGGAGAATGGGGAGCAGATGGTAAGAGTGACTGTCCTGCTTCTGCAATTTTCTCAAACTCCTTCAGCTGAAGATACTTAATAATGCCAAGGTGTCATATTTTGGGGTAGCATGTCCTGAACTTTGAACCTCACCAATGGATACTCATTTTTATTTTAGCTTTCTCCTGAAACCCTGCTAAAAATGACAATAAAGGATATAGGTTAATAAAAGAGAAGACTTCAGGCCTGTGAAATCAATCAAAATTTGGACAATAAAAAATAAATGAAGAGTAACTGACTTAGTGGAGAAAGCAGAAACCTAAACTCTGCAGGGAGCACATGATAAAACACTCAGGTAACTTGTGCTAAGAATGAGAACCCTGGGAAAGTGAGAGAAACCTCAGAGTACCAGTCTGGGCAACGGGGACAAAAAAACAGAAGGACTCACTGACAGTCTACATTAAGAGCAGTTAGCTCCACCCCCCACCCTCCAATCTCCTTCCCAAGAGCGTGTGAGAAGCACACTCTTGATGTGAGTGTGATGACTTTGTTGTCATCAAAGACAACAGGTTTACTCTCAGCAGAGAACCACAGAAGCTCTGGGCCTGGGGACATCAGCTGTGAGTACTGGGAATGAAGGTCTGCACACCAGTGTCAGACTCTTGCCCATCTCCTCTGCTCATCTCTAAATCTGGTCATGTAACACATCCTGCAGGCAGGAAGTCAAAAAATTACTTGGAAATTGGCCAGCTGCCCAGGAAAAAAAACTTCAGATATTGTCATGGGTGGCTGGGGGAGTGGGTCTCAACAAGACAACTTCTTCAAGCACCAGTGAGGCCCTCCAGTAAACAAGTCCCAACCACACACACACAGCTTCCAGTGAGCCTCTCTGTGCTCTACACCTAAAAATGAACTGTCAAGAAGAAACAATCTGTAACATGGAAAGACAGAGCAAAAACAGAAAAAGGAGACTTGAGGAAGAGACAATGCAAGAAGTAGAAGAAAGTATTTTTACTGTTTTTTTAAGTGACTGGTTTATTCTTTATTTTTTAAAATAATCTCTATGCCAAAAAGGTGCTCAAATTCATGACCTCAAGATCAGGAGTCTCATGCTCTACTGACCGAGCCAGCCAGGAACCTTGGAAGAAAACATTTTTAAAAATGAACATCCACAGAGAGTAAAAGCTACTGTATTTATGAAACAAGAACAGTATACCATAAAAAAGGAACATTAAGGAATTAAGACAGAGCTCTTATTCTTGCTACATTATCATAAGAAGTTCAAGAGGCTGACAGATTAAGTTGAGGAAACCTATCAGACAAGGCTAAGGGAAAAAGAAAGAATATCAATCTGTCAAAATAAGTGGAGTTCCAGAGAGAAGAAAAAATAGGAAGAAATACCAAAGAAATATTAAGAGGTAATAGTGCAGAACTGAAGGACATGAGCTGTTAAACAAAAGGATCCAATCAGAGAACAACCCAATGAATTAGAAAAAACAAAAACCAACAAAAAAAGCCTACATGTTGCTACATTTTTATAAAATCTCAGCCCTCTGAAGATAGAACACCCTAAAGGCTTTCAGAGAGACAAGTCAGGTTCTACAAAGAATCAGGGAACAGAATGGCATCAGAGTTCTTTATGTCAGTACTAGAAATGAGAAAATTAGGTGGAACAGTTCTTCAAACTCTAGAATTCTATATCCAAACCACAAATCAACCAGAAAAATGACATCGTTTTTTATTGTTCAGCAGTGAGCAATATTCAGTGACAGTAATATAAATATGGAATACCAATATTGTCAACAATTGGTTGGAGATGGGGGAGGGGAAAGTGTGTGTACTTATGCTCTCATGAGCACAAATGTGCTGCTGATGGTATAATGATACTAAACACTTCCACAGCAGTATATCAGTGGCTCAAAACTTGGAAGAGTTGAAAATAACTGCTTTTGAGAAACAGGGCTCAGATTGACGAGAGACGGGGCAGGAGGCTTCTATCTTCATAAACACAAGAACTTTTTTACTTTAACAACCAGACATACACATTTACACTGCTTTGATAAAAAGAAATATGAAATTTAAAAAGAAACCCTGAAATGATACCCACCCACTGGGGAAACCCCTCTGTAATTAGGCCTTCCTCTCCAGGGCATGAATACCCTGAGGGCAGGGACAGGGTCTACAAATGGAAAGGCTTCACCCATGAGTCACTCTG